CAGGAGAAGACAAAAATATTTGCTATTGCTATTTCCATTCAACTTGTTCTAGCTAGTTCAATAATATAAGAAAAAAAAATGATTTTAAGATTGGAACAGAAAAAAAAATGTCATTTTTAAAGTTAACATTATAGTCTTTATAAAAATCCTACAGAAACTTACAAACCATTTCTAATAATGTGTACAGCAAGGTGCTGAGTATAAAATCAATTTATAGAAATCAGTGACATCCCTAGATATCATTACTAATTGGAAGGCATAAATAAAAACATTATTCCATTCACAATAGACACAGAACTGTAAGATATCTGGGAGTAAATGTATTAAAAGATGTCCAAGTCCTTTATAATAAAAATTATACAAATTTCTGGAAGGACTTTAATTTAAAGACCTGGCTAAATGGATGTTTCAAATTTATAGATAAGATATCTCAATATTATGAAGATTTATACAGTTCTAATAAAAATCTCAACAGGGTTTTTCACAGAACCTGACAACTTGATCTCGAATTTTTATGGAACAGTAAAGAGGCACAGTACTTTTGAATTGAGTAGGGAGTTGCACTCAACCAGACACTTCTTATTATAAAGCTACAGTCATGTAACATTGAAGTTTTGGCAGAAGGAGCCCAATAAAACAAAATGGAAGCAGAACATCAGGCCAGAGAATGTGTGGACAAACCCTCCTCTATAGCCCATTTTTCATGAACAATGTTTCCTTCATTTAGGACTACAAGGACTTAATACACTATCACAAGAAGTGCTGGGCCTCCAGGCTTGGGTCATTCCCATCTCAAAAGATCATATCTAAAAGTTATAAAAAAAGGGAAGAGATAAAACTTGGCTACCACATGCCCTTTCTTATTGCACTTTGTCACGGTATTTTTTGAATGCTTTTTTTTTCTTTCTTTCTTTTTTTTAATTAAAGAGGAATCCTGCCCTTCAATACTTTATATGGAACATATTTCCCATTGTATTTCACTATTGTCAACCATCCTGGATATAAAAGAATATAATAACAATCACACATAAGTAAGAAACAGTGTGAGACTAAACCTAAGGACCTGGACCCCAGGCAGCCCTCTTTGGATCCACTTCTTCTCTAATCTAATACCCATCTAATGTTGGGTATTTTCTAAATAAGAATTTTATAACCAATGCATGCTAACCATCTTACGATACTTTGAAGAAATTACTGTCATTGTCATTGTTGATTGTGGGAGGGTTCTAATGTTGATTAGCCACATTGTCTAAAGCAGTGTGACTTTGACAATCTAGATGCCTCCTTTGCTGTGGAGCTTTGTTTTTTCACTCCTTTGTTATTTGGAATAACAAAGATATAAGGGTCAACTGCACAGCAGGTGGAGTAGTGTATTCACCTCAGTTAGGGTACCCGAATCACTCATATTTTGTTATCACCTATCTAGCAGACAAAATGTTTCTGCTTAACTGCTTTTGTTTCTCAAACATGAAGAAAAATAAAACTACTTTAGTTCAACAGAAGGAAAGCAGTGAATATCTCACAAACTGAAGTAGAATTTTAGTCAATTTCTTCATAAAATTGTAAATTTATTCCTATAGCTATTCTTACACAAAATGTATAATGTAATTTATTCTTTGCTTTTAAAGATCTTTCTCATAAAATTCCCAGACCTGTGTTATTCTAATACCATTTCATAAAAGAAAAAAACTTTAAAAAATACATATGAAATTTTTATCAACTAAAAAACATGTACATGAAAATATAAAAAAATGTTTCCTTTACAAAATGAAGTTTAATATTGAAAAATGGAGAAGTGCCAGTAAAGATGGCAGAGTAGGTAAATGCTGTGCTCACGTCCTCTCAGGACCACATCAATTACAACTAAACCACAGAACCACCATCATTGAGAATCACCTGAAGTCTAGCTGAACCGAAGTCCTACAACTATGGACATACGGACTGGTAGGAGACTGGCAGGAGGGGCAGAGACACGAAACAGGCTGGTCCTACACCTGCGGTTGACCATTAAAAGTAGGGAGGTACATCTCTGCTGTGAAGTTCCCCCCAGAGAAGCAAGGGGTCCCAGCCCCTCCCCAGCCAAGGGTTTCAGTGCTGGGGAGAGAAGTCCCAATATTTTCTCATTGTGAAAAACCAGCAGAGATTGTGGCTAAGCAAGATGAAGGTGGCTGCACTCCCAGATACTACTCTTAAAGGGACCATGCACGGACTGACTTACCGACAGACTCACTCGCTCTGAGCTCCAGCACTGGGGCACTTGCTTGGAAGGCATCATAGATAAATGGGGAGGAAATAAACTGCCTAGCTTCAGAGTGAGAGCCGGAGGAGCAGCTTTCTCCCACATGGAGGAGCTGGTGGAAGCCATTGTTTCTTTGTTGAGCCCTCCCCCTACCTACATGCAGACACAGGCTTGACGTCATATCTGAGTCTCCATCCAATTGGCTAACACCTTTCATCTGCCCACCTTAGTGATTCCCTGAGACCATGCCCCACCCAAATTCTGAACACACTTAAGCTTCCAGTGGCTTTTTCTTATAAACGGCCTGACTTGGCTCATACTGGACTCTCCTAAAATCGTTCAGAGGTTCATAAAACACAAACAAGCAGCATCTGGCTTTTGCATGTCCCACAGCTGTGGCTGAGCAGCCCTAAGCCCGGCACTAGCAACAGCCGGCCTTGGTTTGTGGCTTGGTCTCTCAAGGCACCTCCAAGCACAGCGTAGGTGGAGGCTATCTGTGGATTGCTTTGCGGCTGATGCCAGATGGTCCCAGGCAGGGCACAAACTGCAGCTGAACTTGGCCTGCAGCTGGTCCCCTCCCAGGAGGCCCTGGGGCTGGCACACCCAGTGTCCAGCTTCTGACTGGGCTGGAGCATTACATGGTCAGCTCCAAGGACCACACACCCAAAGGGCAGACTGAGCAGGCACCAGAGTCCCACTAAAGTGAACCCTGCTCTGTAGGGTGAGCCTCTGCACCACAGCTCCTCCACTGTCATCATGGCCAGGGATTGAAGGCCAATCTCTCCCACCTACATGCAAACAGCAACCAAGGCTCAACTACAAGAGGACACACACACCCCACACAAAAACACATCTGGAGCATCCAGCTCTGGTAACCAGGGATACTGCACCACTGGGTCCCACAGGACACCTACTATGTAGAGCTACTCTACTAAGAGTGGGAGGCATAGAAGCCCTGCTTAATACATAGAAACAAACACAGGGAGGCAGCCAAAATGGGGAGACAAAGAAACATGTCCCAAATAATACAACAGAACAAAGCTCCAGAAAAAGAACTAAATCAAATGGAGACAAACAATCCACCAGATGCAGAGTTCAAAACACTGGTTATAAGGGTGCTCAATGGTCTCAGGGAGAACTTCAACAAAGCAATAGAAACCTTAAAACTGGAGATAGAAAACATAAAAAAGAACCAGTCAGAAATAAAGATTACAATAACTGAAATGAAGAGTACTGTAGAGGGAATCAATAGAATAGATGCCTAAAAATAAATCAGCAATTTAGAAGATAAGGTAGTAGAAGATACCCAACCAGCACAGCAAAAAGAAAAAAGAATCCAAAAATGTGAGAGTTTAAGGGGCTTCTGGGACAACATCAAGCATACCAACATTTCCATCATGGGGGGGGGGTATCAGAAGAAGAAAGCAAGGGATTGAGAATCTATTTGAAGAAATAATGACTGAAAACTTCCCTAACTTGGCAATGGAAATAAATATACAAGCCCAGCAAGCACAGAGTCCCAAATAAGGTGAACCCAGAGAGGCCCACACCAAGGCACATCGTAATTAAAATGCCAAAGGTTAAAGACAAAGAGAGAATCTTAAAAGCAGCAAGAGAAAAACAGTTAGTTACCTACAAGGGAGCTCCCATAAGATTGTCAGCTGATTTCCCAAGAGATACTTTGTAGGCCAGAAGGGAGTGGCAGGAAATATTCAAAGTGATGAAAAACAAGGGGCTACAACCAAGATTACTCGACCTAGCAAAGCTATATTTAGAATCGAAGGACAAATAAAGAGCTTCCCAGACAAGAAAAAGCTAAAGGAGTTCCTCACCATCAAATCAGTATTACAAGGAATGTTAAAGGGACTTAAAAAAAAGATAAAAAATATGAATAATAAAATGGCAATAACTACTATCTATCAACAATTGCTTTCAATGTAAGTGGATTTAATGCTCCAACCAAAAAACATAGGGTGGCTGAATGGATAAGAAAACAAGACCCTTACATATACTACTTACAAGAGACTCACTTTAGATCAAAAGACACACACAGACTGAAAGTACAGGGATGGAAAAAACGAGGAAAAAAAAAAAAGCTGTGGTAGTAATACTTACACCAGGCAAAATAGACTTTAGAACAAAGGGTATAACAAGTAACAAAGGAGGCCCTGGTAATCCCACTTCTGGGTAATTACCCGAAGAAACCTCAAATGCTCCTTCGAGGGGATGTGTGTATCCATATGTTCATTGCAGCACTGTTTACAGTGGCCAAGATGTGGAGGCAGCTAGGGTGTCTGTCGATGGACGAACAGATAAAGAGGAGGTGGTACGTATATATATTCGGTCGTCGGAAAACTCATGACGTATTTTTCTATGTTTTCATTGCAAAAATGCGTCATGACTTTTCCGATGACCCAATACAATGGAATATTGCTTGGCCATGGATGGGAATGGGTTCTTGCCATCTGCGGCAGCATGGATGGACCTGAAGGCTATTGTGCTGAGTGAAGTATGTTGGACAAAGAAAGAGATGCAATGTGATTTCACTTACATGTGGAATCTAAAGAACAAAATAAAAACAGAAAAAAAAAGTTTAATATCCATGCCAAATAGAAACAGAAGATTCTTTTAATATGCTAAATTTCTACGGTTTAAATCAATGTTTCTATTGAGTGTGTGAAAAATGTCATGCAAAAAATTAATACATGAACTACTTGCAATACATCGTAAACAAACAATAAACCATCCAGACACATTTGAATTAAAAAACACAGATCTGTTTACTTGTAAGATACGGTAAACTTTTATACTTTAGAGTGTGCACTAATACAGAAATAAAAACTTAAATGCCTATAATTTTATCAAAACACAAATAATTTTCATGACAAAGAGTAGTTCTAAACATAAATCATATAAAAGTGAGCTCAACTTAATCTTTACTTACAATATTGATAATCACCCATTATCAGTGTACATATTAAAGATTTAAGGCATAAGAAAAACACTGAAGCAAAAAAAAACCAGAATAGATTTTCTTCAAATTTCTAAAACTGACTACGGTCATTCCCTCTTCACATATGCCATTACATCTGTGATAATAACTCAAACACTAAATTACACTGTGTGGTTTAAGCTGATGAAGCTACAGAGAATTCACTTGATCTCATTCATGGATTAAAGCTAAGTTGTTGTTGACTTAAGTCAATGGAGCTCTATTGGTTACCTCCTGATTTTATAAAAGCTTTATGTTTACCCAGACATTTTAAAATTCCTTCCTATTTCCCCATATCCTACGGATGTTATGCCTCTTCATAAACACTATTTTTCTTCCTTATCTACTTGTGGGGACACACTGTCATTCTCCATCCGAGTCACTTTGACTTCATGGTAGGAAATACACAAATTTCATGTGGTAAGAACAAAAATCAGACCCATCTACATACCAAAATATTTTCTGAAAAGCAAAAATCTTATAGTATTTACAAAAATGATCATTTAATAACAAGAGCTGTATGTGCTCATCACCTTAAGGCAGACTAAAGTTTAAAAAAAAAATGGTCCCATTCCAGGATATTACATTCACACAAGGAAGCTAAAAAGCTTCTGCACTGAACTTGAACATTAGATAAACTAGTGGACTAATAAGTCAGTCTTTTATTCGTTTGTAGTGAACCTCATTGCTTGGTGCCAAAAAGAGTCCTCTATATGTTCACGTAAATCACACATTCACAAGCAGTTACAACCTTCTGACAGAGCCTATGTTGGTATAAAATATTCTGCGTAAGATGGATTCTACTTAAGATTGATGACAAAGAACTAAAGAACTATATGCCATAGTTACTTCAGGAAAACAAGACTATCTACCTACTTACCTATCTGTCTATCTGAAATCACCCCTCCCTATAATAAGTTTTTCATTAAAATGGTGGTAGCCTTCTTATTTTGAGAAGAATTTTAAATCTCTTAAAGTGTTTGGGAACCCAGTCATAAAGCAGCGTGATATACATCTTTTGTTAACATTTCATCTCCATGTGATTTTATGCATTGCTTCTCTAAAAAGAACCTTATTCCATTAATAATGCTGTACCTAAGGAAGCCTTTTCAATATTTTAAATTGTGTGAGTGCATCTGTATAAGTTTTCTCTCTTTCTCTCTCTCGTCTATTTCTGCTCAGATTGGCAATAATTCAGATGCGATGCTTTCTGTTTAGCAATTAATCTATTCTACTTCTTAAAATTTTGCTTTTGCTACTTATTGAGCAAAAAATGAAAGTACAGAGCTAATTCTGCATGAGAGTCAGTTAACAAGATAAAGAAGCCTTCCTGTTGTTCTGTGGCCACAATTATAAATGCACAAATGTTTCATGTTTCCTAGGTGAATTAACTTTATCCTTTGTGCAGAAGGCAGGTTATTTAGTAAAATTTTTGAGGATGTTCGTTTATAAGCTATAAGCTGGAAGAGTTAGTATGAATAATTTCATATTATTAGTATAGCTTCATAATTATGAGCCTACCGAGATAGCTGACTCCAAGCTACATATATTAATATATATAGAAAAGTTCTGTCTTTATAGATGATAGCAGAACTAACACACTCAGCATAAAACAGAAGACATGGTGTATCACACTTATTCTATGAGTCTGACATTCTAATATTCCCCCAAAATATAACCAAAAATGTCTTAATAAATAAGCAGAAAGTCACCTTATGGCCATTGAAAAAAAATTACTGAGTAAAAAGTTGTCTTATGGCCACAGTATCATGTTTTATAACTAGAAGTCCATGAATGTTCACTAGTTATTTTAACAGAAGCTAAGACCATCCTTAGGTAAACCATCCTTAGCATGAAAATGCCTTTAGTTAAAATCTTTATTTGCTCTGCAAAACTCCTAATATTCCAATTCAACTAATAAGCCACTTGTTTACAAATGTCATCAAACCAAATTGAATTTAAGAAAAGAGTTCCATAAAATTAAAACTAAGAAATCTACCACAAAGAACTCACATCTTAAAGCATTCTATTGGGTATCATACAAAAGCTACATGAGTTTTTTATAGCACCCTCTCTTTATAAAACAATACCTGAAGCCCAACCAAGATCTCTTCTGCTCACTCACATAAATGGTCTCAAACCTGTCAGTGGGATTCACTTTATTTATGAAGCTACTCTGCCACAGAGGCCAACATTCCCATGAAGAAAATGTCTACATTTGGGAGGTAAATTAACTTTTTCATCATTTATGATAAAGTCACCTCCAAAATCATGTCCACAATTTTCATTCTCTGTGAATGATTTATTTTTTGGTTAGATAATATATGAGTATTTCATTCTTTCTAAGTGCTTAGTTGTTGTTCATCTCCTCAAATTATATCACAGCTGTATCTTGTCAACAGGTGGTAAAATATACACCCATATACAAGAGAAATAGCACACCCCCACATTTCAATTTTTTTGCTAGTTATTGTGGCCTATCACCTTTTTGAAATATAGTTAAAATGCTGAACTTTGTTTTTCATGTAAAATAACATTGTGTTTCATTACGATGACTCCTAAAATGTTCCTGAAAACCGAAGCTTTATAGTATGATGAAGAAAAAAACAGGAGAAAAAAGAGAGACCGAATATCTTTATTAGAGAAGAAAAAGAGAGAAAAACTCCTCATTAGAGAAAGGAAAATCACCTTGATAATTAGTTACAATTTCTTATATTTAATCTCTTATTTTTACAAATGATTTAAAATCATTAACCTCAGACCCAGTAATAGTGTGAGAATTTAACATTAAAAAACCAAATAGTCTTATTTCCTTAGCAACGAAAGATTGTTGCCTGTAGTCTATGGTATTTTATATTATCCCACTTGAAAAATAAGCCTATTAGTAGACAGCACAATCTAGGTTTTATACTAGAAATGTAGTATTCCATTTATAATTCATCCTTCCAGATTAATATACCTTTATATAATTATCTCTTTCCAATACTGTTACATTATAGTCTCTGCTTATACTTCCTATTTGTGGAAAATATTAAAATAGCTACTAGAAAAAATACACCCATTTTCTATAGAATTATTAAATGCTTTATATAAGTACTCTGATTCCAAATGGTTATAAAACCTGGAGGAAAAAAAAATCTTTTGAACTTATTATTAATAATGAATTCTATGAAAGCACTAGCATTTTAAATTTCAAATTTATAATTTCTACACAATTAACAAAAATATCCTTTAATATAAGAAAAATATGTTATTTTGATACTTAAGGAAGAACTGCATAATCTCTTGAGAATTCAAAAAACTAATACAGTTATGTTTTTCCCCACATATACCTAACAAGGCAAGTTTGACTTACAATAATTTAACCAGCCCACAAAATAGTATTTGGGAACTGGTTTCATTCTGACAATTTTTAAACCTTTTTCAACAGTTTCTATTAGATGACTTCTAATTACATAAAAAGGAATCTGCTTGAGAGTCTAAACATAACTGGCTTGAAAATAAATATTACTAGTATCCTTAGGGCCAAAATATGACAAGGCAGTCCTAATAAAAATAAGGCAAAAAGCAAGTGAAACTAAGCAGTGACAAACTCTTCATAAGCCTACTTTTTCCTTTCTATTACACAATTGTGTTTTTTTTGTAACAAAACTATTTGGAGAGAATTCCGTCTTTGGAGCAGCCAATATTGTTTCCTAATATAATAACATGAGGAAGAAGCAAGGGATATTATTGGTAAAGGTAGACCGGGTCAGTGAAAACCCATAGGATACCAGAATTTGAAAACCATCCAGCCAGGCTCAGTAATGTAATTGGATGTTCCTTTAAAATTCCTTCCTGAGTGTGTGTCATGAAAATCACAAGGATTAAAACCTGAAGCACTTAAGGGAGGAACATTACAATATTAATCACTAATACACCGAATGAATACTTCCTCTTTCCAAAATGAATACCTTACATTCTTTTTAATTCTTTTAAGGTGGTTTTTGGCTAAGAAAGAAGAAAGGAAGGAATGTCAACAAGTCATTCAGTCCATTGCCATCTCCAAATTATCTCTGAAACTAAATTGCAATTTGTTTATTCAAGAGTTTATTGCTTTAAAAAAATAGTACATGCTTTCCTATTATCATTTCTTTAATACTCTATGACTTTTTAGATAAGTGCTTTAGCATAAGCTGCCATCTAATAATCTTGCTTCTAAATTTGTAATCAAGTATACAATAGGAGTAATTCTATTCTTTTTCATCCTTTACAGAAACAGTCACCCAACTGTCTTCCAGTGTAAATTCCCCTCTGTCTCTCTTATTTTTCTAAATGACTTTTAAAAACACTTCCCATAAAAAGAAGTCACTTTCCTTTAGTAGCTATTCAGTTATCTAGTCTTTCCATTAAGGCTCTTATTTGAAAATTCAGCAGGTAGTATTCAACCATATTGTCACGTGTTTAGCAATAACTATACTTATTATTCAAGTATTATAACCTTCATTTTTCTTATAATCAATATACTCTTTTAAAAATCATCTATGCTACGACAGCATAGTCCTTGCTTTGTTGGTTGTCACCATTTTCCTGCGGACTAGTGATTTTTACTTCTGGCCTTGGTGGTCTTTGAGGGTCTAAGTCATCCTGGAGGAAAAGAGATCAAAACAAAGATATTTAGTTTTTTAATTACAAAGGTAATAAAACTCACAAAGAAAAAAACTACTTAGTATTCCACTTAACCACATAAATATTCAACTGAGACCAGTTTCTTGGGTCCCTGTTTTTCAGTCTATCATCACCCAGTGGACATGCCAGTCTCAGCACTACCAGGACAGATCCCTTTCTGGGGCCACAATCCACTATGTGCTTTAAGGGCACAAACTTGTTTCTTGTGCTGCAGGCTTTACTTTTTTTCCTCAATGGTTTTCTTTGTTTCTCTTTGAGCTTTTCTTTTCAACAGTATATTTATGCTTTTCATATTAGCATTTTCAGAAATGCAGCAATTCTACCCTCAGATCACATTAACCCAACCCCACACCAGCTGTTCTTCTGTTAGTCTTCTACTAGAATTCACAGATCCTTTGTGAATATGGTACCAAGGAGCATCAAGTATCAAGCAGATAAGAGCAGGGCAGGAAATGAAAACACAGAGGCAGCATTTCTCCAACAGCAGCCTTTGTCGCTGCCACTTGGACCTCTCATACGTTATTAATGATACTGTCTCGTTTACAATTTGTTTTTCCCCACTAGACTGACAACTGAGGGAATGAGATTAGAATTAGCTGCTTCTCAAACTCTGCTCCACAGACTCCTAGAGGCTCCACAGCCCCCACCACAGTCACCAGTGTGTGGAGGACCGGACTGGCTCCCGGTCACCCTCCCCTCTGCAGGGCCATGGCTCATGCTCCAAAGAAGAAAATAAGATCACTAGAACTATCTCTTATTTCACATTGTTATCTTGTGAAGTGTCTCAAATAGTATCTTGGATATAGTATAAGCTTAGTAAATATCCATTAATTGTTGTGTATTTGTCATGTTTCCTGCTGTTTTCCTACAATCATATCACACTTCGTTTAAGAACCGTTACATGGGACAAAATGTTACATGGTAAAGTGAATTTTTACTTATTGTATAAGTGAAGAATCCTTTTGAAAAAGTTAATTATTAATGTGTAACTTATAATTCATATAAACCTGGTTTTTAATATAATTGGTATGCTTATACTAATACTTTTGAGAGAATGAAAACAAAATATATTATCATTATAAGAGAGATAAGTCAAGTAAGATTGAATATCTTGTGGGTAACTGTTCTGTCTTAGGCCTTAGGCCTTGTACAGGCCTTAAAATTCCTAATTAGTCACATATCAGGCCCTTGTTCATTGGATTCCCAAGAATTTAGATTTGCCCTCAATACATACCATTAACATCTAAACTTCAAATTATAAAACCTTGATCTTGACTGATGCCCAATTCCTATGAAAGGGCTATTTTTGAAAGCTAAATTTATAGAATAGAAGGACAGGCAATCTATTTACTTCTGTAAAATCTAGTTAGGTTATAACATTGAATGAAGCTAGACCACTGGAAAAATGCATACTTGGATTTTACTGTCTAGGTCCCACATAAAATTTACACTTTGATTTTATGCTGTAAACGTTCATCAAAGGCCACTATATATAACACAGAGCTTCATGAAAGCTACCACTGCAGCTGCCATATAAATAACACTGAGAACACTCTACATTATTTTTCTTCCTGTATGAGTCCCCAGACAAGAGATTTTGCTTCCCTTGAGAAACGTTATTTTTTTTTCCTTTGCCTTCCTTGAGAAATTAGTTTTGTTTCCTTATGGAGGTAAAGGGAATCATGTAATTGACTGAATTCTTTTTGTTTATTTTAGCTACAAACAGCTTCAGAATATACTTGTATATGTTAGCTAAATTTTAATAACCATGTAGAACTACATATGGGAAATTTCTTATGGGACTGTGATTACCTCATGCTGAGAAAAGACGAGAGACATGTTGAACATTTCCCTTTAGATATTAAGATGCTTTTGTATAAGCCATACAGTGGATTACAGATAACTTTGTACTGGTGATTGAAACCTGGCCATAACATTTTGCATTTTCCCATTACTAAACTTGGTCTCCCTGAGTAAGATAAAATTGATGAGTCAATAATAAATAATACCCATTCATCATATTGGGTTATCAGGGATGAATCGACCTAGACCCATGTCGGAGGTTACAGTCTTGAGGGAGGTGGGCCATGAGATGACAGACAGGAAAGAAGGGCACAAGCAGATGGTGACAATGCTGTGAAGTCCACCTGCCTCTTATACTATGAGACTCAACTTGAGCCTGTTCATCGGCATCTAACTTTATCCTCTGGAAGAACGCCAGGACTTGAGACTATCCTGCTGCAGGGCCAGTGGTGGGAAAACAGGCTGGGAAGTAGGCTTCAATACAGTCTTCACTCGCAATGTATAAAAAATAGAACTATATATTATTAAGTACCTGGTATACTGAGCACTTAATTTAATTAATCCATTTAAACTGGATTAAACAAACTAAACTTTAATATTTCTAGAGAGCAAAGAAGTCACCCACAACAGCCACGATGTTCTTTATATCATGTCTAGATCTCACTGGTCTCAATATTCTTTCCTGGTTTGTATTTTCCCTGGTCTTAACTTATTTGTACTTGTTATTTTTACGTCTCTCTTTTGTCATATATGATCTTAAGAGCCTCTGTAAATTTTTTTGTACAATAAGGTAGGAAATGGGTGGATGAGTGGGTGGATGGATGGCTAGATGGCAAGAAGAACAGACATACAGACTGTCAGATATGTGGTTGCCAGCACTTCTTAACTGATTGAAACAATATAGTCAAGTAAATGGTATTGGATCTTTCCCTACTCAACCATAAGTGGTTTCAACTCAAGTCCTAAGTGACCTGAATAATTCCTGTGTGTGTGCGCACGCACACATACACATTCATGCATGCAAACGAGTGACCAAAGGCAATAGAAATACCTCCTCTTGTCCACTGCCAGCTCCTGCAGACTTTATTTCCTCATCCTCTGCCTCCTGCAGCTCATCATTGACCTGATCTATTTCCTCGCCATTTTCTTCATCGGTGCCTCCATTAACACGAGCAGGGCCTGTCTGCTCCTCCCCATGGCCCAGCGTCTCCTCGGCTTGCTTGGAGGCAGCAGTAGCCTCCCCATTTCCTTCCTCTTCAACTTCACCATTCATTCCTAAGAACTCTTCTTTTTTTTCTGTGGCCTTGCTTTCTTTCTCTCCATCTTCTTCTTCATCTACTATTTCTGCTGGCCTCTAATGGATCAAAACGAATAAAGGATAACAGTAAGAAGTGTAACAGATTTTCCACTGCACATTATAATAAGGTAACATTACGTTACAATCAAGTAAAACTTCTGTACATTTGCATAGCACTTTATGGTGTATAATGTGTTTATCTTTCCTGAGTGCCTACTGAACGTCACTCTTCACAAGTATCTTCTCATTTAATCCTCGTGACAATGCTGTGAGGTTGGTATTGTTTCCATTTCACAGGAGAGAAAACTAAGGTACACAGAGATCAAATATCTAGCCCAAGATCCCACTGGTTATAAATGAAAGAGCCAGAATTAGAATTAAGCATGTGACTCCAGAACCAATGTTCTTTGTCCCCGTGGCAGGGAGGAAACTACACTGCAGGGTCCTTAGCCGATGGCTAGTGGAGGGTCTGGCCAAGAGGAGAAGGTAACAGAAATTCTTGATGGAGATAATATCATCCTCACCCCTAATGCTTGGTATGTATATTTATATCTCTAAATACAAAACGGGCAATGGTGATGGTCCCAGGATGTGAGCCCATCAGGTTTTCTAACATCAAGTATGGATAGCTTTCCACACAAATGTCCAAGAGCATTGACAGTGTACCTACAGATACCAAAATTGATTGTCACACAGATCTGAGACCAAGAAACTATTAGTCTTTTCTATAAAAATAATATAAATGTTCAAGTATAATTAGGCATTTTTACTGTTATTTGGCTACATGTAAGGCTGCTTTAAAAGAGAGCAGGAGGCTGAATTCTAGAGCCAAGACCCTGGAGAGAGAAAGACTCAGGGTCAAGTCCTGGCCAGGCACTAACTAGTTGTTACCTAATTTCTGTGAGTTTCAAATTTCTACTTGTAAAATAGGAATATAATAACACTTCCATGGGAATCAAATGAAATAAGTTATACACAGTGCCTGGCACATCACAAATCGCACCTCCCCCGCCCCCCCCCAAAAAATTAAAATCCCTTCTCATTTGCTATGATACGTTCTTTCCTGGAGCTATCATATTTCTTCATTGCCCCCAATAAAATAATAGTTTTTAGACTGTTAGGACCGCAGACCTGCCTCTTCCTAGCTGTCTGACATTGGACAGGTCACTTAATCCTCTGGCATCTGTAAAGTGAGGGTTTGAGACACACAATTAACCCTGACCTCCCTCCAGCTCTGGAAGTTCATTTTCCTCTCACTGCCCAATGCACGTTATGGGGCTGTTAATGGTCTTAACAGTGAACATGATGCTTTCAGTTTTGGAAGTGAAAAAGGAAAGAAATGAAGAGGAATAGACTAAAAGTTCAGGATAAAATTCCACACAACATTATTCTGAAGAGGAAAGAGTTAGAACCATACATTTCCATATTTTGTCAAAAATAAAACTGCAAATTTGATTACATGGTATCAAAGATGTACTTTTAAAAATGAAGAGAGAAAAATTAGTTGTTCTTAAGATACTCCAAAAAACATAGTGTTTGTCATCATGCAGATTAACAAATAGTACAGTGAGGCCGCATCATTCAAATTTTCATTCAGATGTTTAATTGCCAAAAATGTAGGCAGGGCCCTAGCTATCCCTAAGCATGCTGCCCAAGAGAGGCCCTTGAGAAGTTCAAATGCTGGGCAGAAACTAAGGTGGGATGAGAGTAGTTCTGCCATCATGAAATGTAACCCACAGTGCTTGGTAAGGATTTCTGGTTTTTATGTGTAAGACCTAAATGAATAAAGGTGAGAAAAATCTCCAGTTTCCAGAAAACAGTATGTTCTCATCTCCACACCCATGCCCTGCCCTGTCTCTACAGAGAACAAACATGGCAAACCCTGGAGGCAGACACACTTGAAGTGATGAGCAGAGGAGAGTTTGGTAAAGAAAGGGGTGGGCATTGTCATTATAAAAACAAACCTGAGTAGATACCCAGGAGCGGGATTGCTGGGTCATATGGTTATTCTACTCTTAATTATTTGAGAAACCTCCACACTGCCTTCCATAGCGGCTGCACCAATCTGCATTCCCACCAACAGTGTATGAGGGTTCCTTTTACTCCACAGCATCTCCAACACTTATTATTGTTTGTCTTGTTGATGCTAGCCATCCAAACTAGTGTGAGGTGATATCTCATTGTGGTTTTTATTTGCATTTCTCTGATAATTAGTGATGCTGAGCATCTTTTCAAATGTCTATTGGCCATCTGTATATATCTTCTTTGGAGAAATGTCTATTCAGGTCCTCTGCCCATTTTTTAATTGGACTGTTTGGTTTTTTGTTGTTGAGTTGTATGAGTTCCTTATATATTTTGGATATTAGCCCCTTATTGGAGGTGTTGTTTGCAAATATTTTCTCCTATTCTTTGTTTTGTCGATGGTTTCTTTTGCTGTGCAGAAGATTTTTTAGTTTGATATATAGTCCCATTCATTTATTCTAGCTTTAACTTCCCTTGCCTTTGAGGTCAAATTCATAAAATCCTCTTTGAAGCCAAGGTTCATAAGTTTAGTACCTGTTTTTTTCTATGCAGTTTATTGTTTCAGGTCTATGTTTAGGTCTTTGATCCATTTTAAGTTAATTTTGGTACATGGTGACAGAAAGGAGTCTAGTATATACCCCAAAAATCTGAAAACATATATCTGTAAAGATATATGTGCTCCAGTGTTCATTGCAGCTCTATTTATGGTGGTCAAAACATGGAAACAACCTAAGTGTCCTTCGATAGATGACTGGATAAAAAAATGTGGTATTTTTTTTACCATATTTTTACAGTATACAATGGAATACTACTACTCTGCCATAAGATGTAGATAATACTACTGTGCCATAAGATGAAATAGTGCCATTTGTGATGACATGGATGGATCTTGAGATTATTATGCTAAGCGAAATAAGTCAGACAGAAGAAGCTGAGAACCATATGACTTCACTGATATGTGGGATGCAAAACTGAAAGCAACAAAGGAACAAGACAAACAAATAAAGAAACAAAACCTCATAAATACAGACAATAGTTTAGTGGTTACCAGAGGGCAAGGGGGGAAAGGAGTGGTAGATGAGGGTAAATGGGTCAAATATATGGGGTGGAAGGAGAACTGACTCTGAGCGATGAACACACAATGTGATAGATAGATGATGTATTTACAGAATTGTACACCTGAAATCTATGTAATTTTACTAACCATTGTCACCCCAATAAATTTTAATTAAAAAAAAACAAAAACAAAACCACCTGAAAAAATGTCCTGGGCCAAAGATGACGTTTATGGATCACTGAGGAACAAGGGCTTCTGGGGGGGCAGAATCAGGAAGTCGGGGGGCTTCCTCAATAAGACACTAAGACAGGGAGGGACACCACAGGGGGGAGCACTGGAATGAGGAGCCAAGTCAGGGAAAACCATGGGTAGCTCTCCACTAACATGTCAGAGGAGGCCAGGAAAAGGCCCAGAGATAGTTCCCTTCCTGGTGGCTTTGAGGGATTTAAGGGGCTACTCACCATGGGACCCTAAGAGACATCTGTGGGGCTCTCAGTCACCATGCTTGAGCGAATGTGCCTAGAGCACAGGTATGCAGTAAGCAGTACCCCAGACACTGGACATTCGAAGACAAACACAACAGTCTCTGACAGCAAAGAACTCGGAGCAGCGCAGGAATAATCCCATTATAATAGGGCATAAGAAGAGAAGCAGTAAGAGCACATGTCAGGAAAGGGACATCCAAGATGGGGTGTGGCAGCCTGCTGCCAGATCTCACATGTCTGGTCACTGAGGCTTGTATTTGCAGGTGAAGAGAAGCGATGAGAAGCATATCCGTCACCTGTCTGTGCCATGCGTCATGCTCAGCGCCTACAGATTCATCATTTCGTGTAACCCTCACAGAAACCCTAGGAAGCACGCTTCCTATGCCCACCCACTTCACAAACAAGGAAAATGAGACATCATTCAACACTTCCAACGTCACACATGGGCGAGCACGTAGGGCTAGGATTTGACCCCAAGGCAATCTTGTCCCAAAGATCTGACATTCTCCCTTAAACGAGGCACACAAGAAATTGCTACTTCACCTAGCTGCTACTGCAAGCACACTCACGTGTACTTCCAATAGCCAGAAAACACAACATCTGCAGTAGGCAACATTACTTTTGCTGTTTAAAGAATAAAACATTGCTGGATTTGTATTAAAGACCTTTGGTGTCATCTATGGAGGGAACATTATAAGGACTGTTAGGTAGAGTACCTGAAGCAGTACCTAAACAAAAAAACAA